ATATGATGGTCAAACTTATTTGGGATCGCAATCAAAAGAGGGAAACATTGAGCATAAACCTCAATTGTACCCTCCAAACAAGTTAAAGTCTGAATATAATGCATACAATAAATTTCTCATCACTGAAATATTTTCAGAAGATGAGGATACTCAAGAATACTGCTGTCAATTAATTAATGATAATGTATCATTTTATTCCGAAATTATTAAAATGGACACTTTAAAAAATATTCATGGATGATTAATACAGAGGAATGTTTAATTGGGGGTCCTAGTGGTGAATATAAAATACGTGCATTAGCAAAGGCAAATGGTTGGAAAGATAGCGAATTTAAATAATGCTGCCTCCTGTATCTGTCAAGTAAGTATAAACTTTTATTAAAATTGATATGTATAGTGGTCAGGCTTCATATCAGCATCGGGAGATTATCAGAATTTAAAGAGTTTCATTTTTTAGCAGTTTTGAAATTGTTTATCCATCATTTTTATATTGTCAATTTACTGTTCGGAGTTCCTAAACATTTTGGTAGCATTTTATGTAAACTATATGCAAACAGGACCCCGAACAATTCGAATGGAGGTCATATTTGAGCCATTAGCAGTTATTCTGCAATTTGATTGATAAAAAAATTTTTAGCCAATCAAATTGCTTAATTTTGCAAAATTTTGACCTCTGTTAGCTATTTTTCAAATATGACCTCCATTGGTATTGTTCGGGGTCCTATGCAAACTATTACATGAACTAGAGTACACAATAAATTGGAACAATCTTTTTCGAAACAGCAATGAAAATTCAAACTCGGAAATACATCCAAATTTTGTATACAATGTAAATGCTACAAAAAAATAACGAAATTAAGTCATAATCAAATTGTAGTTGTCGGATGAAACCTAGAGGTTTCGAAATTGACGAAAGTCGAAACTAGTTTTGATTTCAACAACTAAATTTTGATACAGTCAGCTCTTCCCTCACTGAACTCTTGAAGTTTATTAAGAAAGGGAAAAAAAATTCAGTTTAAAAAGTGAATCTCAATAAAAGTTTTTAAGTTCGGTTTAGACAGAATTCATTGAGTGTCCTGTATATCCAGGTACGGTTTAAAGAGAGTTCATTTTTATAAAAAATATTTAGAAATTATAGAAAAGAGTCGAAATTATACATGTAATAGTTACAATATCGAGACTGCTTCAGCTTCAATATTATGAAAAAAAAGGTTTTGTCTGACGACTATAGGTCAAATATGCTTGCATGATGATTTCAAATATCGAAAACTTTAGTCATAGAAACAGTCATTGTTTATTTAAAAATTTTATTTACCATTAGCGATGATATTTTCAATCACATTAAGTTTTCTGGACCCGTTGTTACAATCGGTGATTGTAACAGTACAAAAATCGATGATGAATCTGGAGTTTGGAATAACATTTCAGAGTTCATTTCAGTACATTCTACTGTCTTCCAAAGGCCTTTGTCCGCAGAGTACTCTGAAGCTGAGTAATTGTTTTCACTACTTAACGAACGAAAAAATACAATTGATAATATACTGAAATCACAACAAGTATATGCTATCGGTCCCGACTTTCAGGAAGATTATTCCACGTCATGCATTGCTTGTTGGGTTGCCAAGCCTCTACACAAGTCGATCATGGAAGAGATTTCAAAATTATTTGATTATAAGTTCAGAGTCGTATATCATTTAGTAAATGTTAAAGACATAAGTAACGGCAGCAATGATCACTGTGAAATTACAAGTGAAACATCAATAAAAGATGTCAGCAATAAGTCTTAAAAATTATCAGAAGTGACAGTGATGGTAATATTGATAATGACGAAGATGATAGCAGCAATGTTGGTGAAGATGATGGCGACAATGGTGGTGACGATGGCAACAACGATAACGGCGATGATGGTGGTGATGATGACGAAAATGATAATGATAACAATCACTCTGGGAATCAGACATAAATCCCATATATGATAGCAATAGGGTCATTAGAGTTTCGTCTCAAGGTAGAATCTAAGCAGAAAATAAGAATCAAAATTTCCATATCGCTATTAATATTTTGGGCAAACGTCGAATCTGAACCCCATACAAGCATGAACACTATGAAATTCAAGATTAATTTAATAAATTGTGGGGTGTCAAAATTTCTAAGTAAACAATGTTCACCCCTTGAAAGCTGTATTTGTTACTATCTTGATTAGCTTGAAATTTGTGTCTCACCAATTCCAATTGAACCTAGCAATACATCCAATATTATTATGATAAATGAAAAACATCCACGAAGGTTTAACAATACTATAAACATCTCAAACGGCCATGAACATGATTTTCACATCCAAGTGGAAGGTGGAACAACTTTTGGAGCAACAGCTAGTTATGATAAAAAGAATAGCAGAAACACTATGACAACATTAAAAGAATGGGACTTGCAAAATGAATTTGATGAAATTGATTGTGTACGATGGGCGTATAGATTTATCGGCGATGAAATATATGATGATGGAGAACATAGAAAAACATTAACACGGACTATATCTATTTTAGTAATTGGTTTATCATGGATGAAATGGGAGGATTTCGAATTACCATTACACAAGTGCTTGGCTGTAAAAACAATCAAAATTTTTTTAAAAAGCTTATTTCTAAAACACCAGAGCTGTTAAAACAGTATCCTAAACTTTATCACAAACTCGAGATTTTCTTTAAAATTGCAGATTTCAATAATAATTTTGCAAAACTGACGAAAATGGTTCATCAGGAAAAATATCACACCCCCGAAAAATAAATGCCATCCAAAAGAAATAAATAATGCCTTATTCATACGCGAATTATCTTCTAAGCTTATCTAAGAAAATGTGCATGCCATTTATTTCCCTTTTTTTTTTGTTGCCGTAAAAAAGAAAGCAACTGATAAATAAGTTTTTTGATTTAATATGACTTAATATATTTATATATTGACATAATATTTATTGTGAAGTATTCTTACTTTCTATTCAAATCCAACTTTTGCTGTTACAATATCTCCATCACATTCTAATGAATCCAATCTAAAGAATAAATAAATAAAAATAAATGTTGTCCAATTGCAAACATTTACCTTCTAATATCACAACTTATTCTTGCCCACTAGGTGGTTGTCGAGATTAGAATTTAGAACCGGTTTTATTTTTCATATGATAAAACCGGTTTAATCGGTTTTAACATATAAAAAATAAGACCGGTTCCAAACGCTAGTCGAGATATTTTCGCTCAAAGTTTAGAAATAATCAAAATGACAGTTTGAGTAGAATCTTTAGCGATAATTTTTTCGGCATAGCTAGGGTACTACTTTAATGCGCAATGATCTACATAAGATCATAAGATCAATTCATTACAAATATCCAACTAAGACCAAACTTTATGCAGATTTGGATTTAAACTAAACCTTGGACCCAATATCGATAGTAATACAGTATTATCTTTATGTCGATCTATCCATTTTATCTAAAAGGGAATGTAAATTATAACAAAAATTTTATATAGGGGTTAACAAGAATCAAAATTTTGTGTACGAACCCATACACTCTATTCCTAGTACACTCGTTTCACTCATTCCTGGTAAACGCATTAATCTATCGGTGTGTCACTATGATTTGTTGTCCACTGTGTAATGATAATATTTCGTGTGTAAGACTGACCCGCGTTTAATCATTTTAAACCTAAAACGAATCATGCTATTTATAACATTCGTTCAAACTAAATTGAATAATTTGGCCATTCAGAAAATACGGAAAAAATTAGATGCATATTATTTTCTCGGATTTTCCTTGCGGCTACTGTATTTCTCCTTATTTACATTTATTTATGATACATCGATTATTTATTGATTATAATTTTAAGATAAGCTATTTATTCCTCTCATTTTCGATAATATAATGTCGATCGTTTATCAATTGATGAGCATAATTACTGCCTATTTATTAGAACTGTTAACGGATTGTATGACTTGGCCTGGCTCTTAAAAATCATTGAACCATGGCTCGAGGCATGACTAAAGCAATGGATCCAATATCTAGATTTCGCATCAGAGATATCCAGTATTTCTAAATCAGGCCTATATTCATCCGCTCCTGGTTTAGCGTGACAATACTTATTTGGGGAGATTTGTACTGTACATCACACTAGGGATAGGAACGGTTACGGCTATAGCCATAGCCGATATTAGCCGAGCCGAGGGGCTTAGCAAGCCGGCTAAAATTATAGCTGATGCCAGATTTTTGATCATTTAGCCAGATCTATAACAAAACAAATTTTCTGGTAAAATGATCTGCCCTTTGCTGAACCAAAATCAGCATCAGCTATGACAATTATTAAACCTACATACAATTGGTTTAGATATTTGAAGTAATTACAGCTGTTTTCATAATTTCTGGGACACCTGACATAAAATGAGCCGAATGATTTTTCGGCCGATTCGGTTAAGTT